ATTTTGTTTTAAAAAAACTAAAAACTTGAATAAATACAAAAATAAATGATACCTTTGTATTCGACCGATATTCGAACCTGGACACCTGTGATTGTTGATCTTGCACCTTGGCCGCTTGAACACGATGCTTATTCCCGAGCGTGCAAATTACCGACCATATTTTGCGTGGAATAATGCAAAAGAAAACTGCATGAAATCTCGAAAATACGCGTTTTCTCAGACATAAGAATAATTTAGATCGATTTACCGCCCCGAAACATCCTGTATCCTAAATTACATGAAAATCGTTGGAGCCGTTTCCGAGATTCAGATTATATATTGATATATAAATATATATACAAGAATTGCTCGTTTAAATATATTAGATATAGGAAGCACGAGCTGTATAAGGATAATAAGGGTGTTGTTCTTAAGGACATATTACTCGAAGAGTTAAATAATGTCGATCTGCCTTTTATAGTTTGTAGCTTAAGGACTTAAGATTACTGATAAATGATTTATCTAAAGTTATTTAAGAATATAGAAATAAATATTATTTATAATTATTGTCTGATAATGAAAAAAGCAAAATTGACTGTAAATCACAGCATATTAAATGTATCTTAGAACATTATTAAAATAAATAAACTAATTTGTATTAGACCTACACCAATAAACAATTGTACTAGATTTTCTGAAGAAAAAAAAACAGCTTCGATTTTGTTGCCATAAACATATAAGATATATTTTCACTTATATTCAGAAAGTGATCGTCCATTGAAGCTTACATATTATGTAAAGTTTGTTTTACATATTCCTATTTTGACCGAGTTTATAATGAACTCCTTTGCTTTAGCCGCAGTGGAAAATAAAGTAGGTCTCAAAGCCAGTTAAAGTTGTGAATTAATTACGACGGGTGCATACTAAAGTAGGCTGTGCTTTTATAGATATTATTAGTGCAGTCTTCGAAGGTAAACACTATGAGTTGAGTAGCAAATATATCTAAACGACCCACGGAACACGGGTCTCCCTTCAATACGAGGGGGATGAGGCCATAGTCCACCGTGCTGGCCAAGTACGGGTTGGCAGAATTCAAATCCTCTCGAAAACTTGCTAGGTTCTCTCGGACATGCAAGATTTCCAGGGCGAGGCAAGTGGTAATCATGTTGAAAACGATTAGTACCTGAAAATATTAGAGGTGCCGGGATTTGAACCCGTGTTACTCCCAAGCGAGCGCGTTATCACTACGCTACCACTACCTTTAGACCATGTTGATGGCTATTAAGATATTTTTTTAAATCTTGTTCAAATCGATGGTCGTTGTAATTAATACGTAATTCATATAAACTTTCCATTTAATAAATCCAAAAAAGGTATTCAATTAGAGCGGATATTTTGGTTCAATTAGGGTTTATTTTGTTTGTTTTATTTTCGCTAATTGAAAACCGATAATCCCATACAAAGTGTAAGAAATTACACCAGTATTTAGGTATGTATAAACCCTTCGGGTAATGGAGTTAAATATGTATACAGTTAACTTTAGATTTGCTAGGCAGTGTAACTACTTTGGAGGTCGTAGATACCGTTTTCAATCGTTCGTATAATATTATATCATACTAGCATTGTCGCGGCTCCACCCGCGTTCAGGTGTCCAAAAACCAAATTCTTAGGTTTTACATATTAGTATACTCTTACATTGCAGTTTTTGTATTTTTTCTCAGAAATTAGACATTTTTCCGCGGTAAAAATTATACTATATGTTGACCCGGATAACCAGCTATCACCATACTGAATTTCATAAAAATCCCTCTAGTGGTTTTTCTGTGATGCGGTAACAGACAGACAAACAGACAGACAGACAAAAAATCTGAAAACTATAGATTCGGCGTCTGTATCGATAATACTCGTAATGTCTATTTCAATAAGATTTTCCAAAAAATATTTAATGTACAGATTCGGCTTGGTTACAATTTTATTATATGTATTTATTATATATAGACAATCATATGTCATTTAAAATTTATTAATACACGCATTAGGCGTTTCACTTCGAAATGAGTGCTGGACACAGGCCTAGCCGTAGTCCACCACGCTGGCCAAGTGCGGGTTGGCAGACTTCATATGTCTTTCGAAAACTAGCTTGGTTCTCTCGTGCAGGTTTCCTCACGATGTTTTCCTTCATTGTAAGACAAGTTGCAATCGTATTCGAAATGATTAGCTTATGAAAATATCAGAGATGTGAGACCCGAACTTTAAACCCGCTTCACTCGGTTTTCCAAGCAAGCGCGTTACCACTGGGCTACCACTGCCTATTTAACTTTTATGAAACAACAAATTCATTGAGATAAATTAAACTATTCTCGATTCTCGCACGATTAAATCGACAAATGAATGAAATTTTAAAAACTGTTAATAAGGCTTCGCTCGAATAAATCACCGAGGAAAATTACAGTGCTAAACAACGCATGGATATCGATAAATTTTACTTCTCATCTTAAAAGTGCCAATTGCTCAATTCCAGTTAAGTTACGACGTAATTTTAAAGCCCTGTTAAATCGTTTTTTCTATGTATGTATTTGTTGTGAAGTTTTAAACATCCAACATTTTTGTTGTTTAAATGTGACATCTTCTAGTGGCTACAACTAATAACGGGTGTATCAAAATAAGCTACAAGCGATTAATTCCTTTAACTAATATTAAGTGCTCCCGCTCATCTAGATTTGATCATCTGAGCTACGTGCCGCCCAAAATCGTCGCGATGGGCATTTAGCCCATCGTATATTTTTGACATCATAATTTTTTTTTAAAAGTTATACGTTTCTGTATTTATATAAGAATAAAACAAAATAAAAATATTTCATCCACAATTTGTTTTATTCAAAGTTTAGGATGATTGATTTTTTTGATTTGATTGATTAATTTCCATGTCTCAGACTTCGAAAATAATAAACCCTTATTAGAATAACTAGCATTGCCCGCGGCTCCGTCCGCGTTCAGATGATCAAAAACCAAATTCTTAGGTTTTACATTTTAGTATACTCTTACATTGCAGTTTTTGTATTTTTTCTCAGAAATGATAGAGGTTGCGGCCAAATGTTATTGTAAAGCAATCGAAACGCATCGGAAACAAAAAAATCTAAAAAAATTATATGAAACTGGGATAAAATCGAAAAGATAGTTTTATTTAAAATATATATTTTTTACGGTTCCCAAATCTGTTTTGCACTACACTATAAATATGCTCGTATAACTTTGTTCCCTTTATGCTAATAGCAATATTATTTCATACCGCAATATTGTTTGTACGATAAATAAACTAAACGTATTACAATATGTAGCTTGAATCAACATAATATATATTTTATTTAAAGTTTTTGATTACTTAGTAATTAATTATTGTTTAGCATTAAATATGTAAGTACGTCTCGACTTGTTGATACACACGTAAACAGATACCTTGGCAATTCTTCCACTGGCCTACATAGTTTGTAGGACACTGAATTCATATTATCTCGTATATATTTTTTATATATTATCACATATGTAATTATTTTGTAATTGCCTGATGGACCAATATTTAAATTTGGGGAATGATCAAATTTAAAACGTGAAAATGTTGAAGTTGTAGTGTAACTTTTTGGAAATAAAATGTTTATCTAGTGGCTACAACATTGAAGTAGTCAGCAAAACTTAAGTTGTAAATGTTCTTTCATGTTCCAATATTAAGATTTTTTTATTATTATTTTTAATTTAATGCATAATAATATTCAAGTACTTTCCTTCGTAAATAAAATGAAAACCTAGTGACTTATTCGGTTTTCCGCTTTTCGCCATGAAGATATTGAGTGTTTGGTCAAATAACAAATAACTAAATTTGGTCAAATAACAAAAACACTTTATGATGATTATTATATTTGATAGATTTTAGGACAAACTTTGTTAATATTTTAAATATTAAATAAATATAACATTTTAGCAGATAATCATTTTTCCGTTTGAGATTAGAATGGACTTTTGATTACAAGGAAGTAAAAGTATTTTTATAAACAAATCACTAATATTTTTAAATATCAAAAATTTGAACGTTTTGCATCTAAAATCCTTAGCGGTTTAGGTAATAAAATGAGAACACATAAAAGCAAAAACATGTCATTAATTGCGATCGAAATAAAGTGTCCATTAGATGTTATTGTGGCTATTAAATTTGACGTCACGTGGTGTTTATATATGTGAATCACTGTTACCTAGTAGGAAACTTGAAATGAAGTTATTATAATATATGATAACCTTTGACATTGAATAAAACTTATCCGATTTAAATTCTGATATTCTCCTGAATACATATTCTGGTTTGGATTATAATTCCCTAGTGACTATCATCGGAATTTGGAAATAAATTTTAAGTACTACGTGCTTTATAATCCATACTAATCACTTAATCCCATAAATATTATAAATGAAAAAGTTTGGATGGATGTTTGTTACTCAATCACGCCAGAACATCGAAAAATCGAATTAAAATTAAAAATAAAATCGGATGAAATTTGGCAGAGATAGATCATAGTTTGTAATAGCACATAGGTTACTTTTTATCCCGGAAAAATGTATGGTTCCCGTGGGATAGATTAATTTTTTTTCACTTCGTTAGTATATAATAGTTTCTTATTATTGTCGTCTGTGGAAACTATATTTTATATCTAGACTAAATACCGGTTAAAGTTAATTATACGACTTACTGTTCTGTCTGTCATTATCAATATAGCCTAAGTAGTACTAAGTAGTGCATTTTTATTTTTTAATACTAACAATAAAATTTATATATTTTTCCATAATATATACTTGTTTTTTTTATTTTTATTTTAGCGTTAGAATATCTATGAATAAAAGATTTCCTTTAGTTTTAATTATTTTAATATATATTATAAATAACATGTCTACTAGGATATAAAACTTGAGTAAGATATGATAAAATACCAGTTATAACGTCATAGAGAGCACTAAACAGTCTTACAAACACTTCAAGCTGAAATGACAGAAGTGGGACTTTGAAAATGAAATCCATTGTACGGTAAATCCAGTGAATAGTCCGCTTGAACTTCCCCAGGTCTTGAAGTGAGGTCTATTAATTCCTGATTGAAAGGTTTGTTTGTAGAAGCTAAATTAAATTGTGATGACAAATCTATAACGCTTGAGCGTACTGGGTATAATATTGATTCCTTCGGCACTCTTTTGATTTTATTTTTATCAACATTTTCATTGTTTACAACATCTTCCATATTTAATCTTTCGTTTTTCACATTAATAATATCTTTAATAACTCTATTAGATCCTAGGTCTTGTCTCGTTTCTACTATGTTATGCCAATTGTCTTGACTTCTCTTATCATAATGTTCATAAGGAGGGTAGGTGTGGTAGAAGCCGTAGCTTAACGGACTTGTAGCAATCTGGAACAGAACATCTATTAACTGGTTATCTTTTGGTTGTATTAGTAAAAGTGCTGCACAATAAGATTGTGGTTGGTTATTAATGATATTAACATGTTTAGTTTTTAGGTGATATCTTAGTTAAAACGATATAAAACACTCTTTGATTTAGTAAATTTCATACCTTCCCTCTTTCACGAAACCCATCATAAAGGTCTACCTAAAAGAGAATGTTAACGTTAAAGGTGGTTAGTACGTGATGAATGAAAAAATTGTTTAATTTTGTTAAATTTATCAAAATAAGGTTAGCGTGCCGACAGTTAAAGTATTGTGTGAATTCAATTAGTTCATTTTGGATAACGACCATTTAATTACGTTTAAATATGTCACTGTGAATGGAAACCCAATAATTTGTATGCTCGACAAATATTTAAAGAACATTCTCACAAATTAAGTAAATAATGACTATACATTTGACGACACGTTGGGCTCAATTTGTAGTGATCCTACTTGCTGTGCCAGCGGTCACGGTTTCGCGTCCCGCTGGGGGCATTCACTTGTATGATGTTTGTACTCAATTCATGGGTGGTTATATTTATAATATGTATGTTTTTAAAGTTATATACGTGTAGTGTATCAACTATCTGGTATCCATAACGAAAGCCTCGTAGCTTACCATGGAACTAGATGGCGATGTACTCGTATGTTAATGTCCCAACATATTTATTTATTTACTCTAACCATATGTTAACTATTTTGAGGCAGTTGAAAATTATAATTATTATTGATAGTTACCTTTTTGAGTCCTTGAATTGAAGCAAGTATAAGTGCCATTTTAGCTAATAGTAATGCTTTTCCGCCTAAAACTGCTAGAAACTGGAAACCCATAGGAATGAACACCATGCCGATGGACACAATACCAAACATCATCATGGTCATCATATGATGGCGGCGTCGACTTCTATATTCAACTGAAAACATGTAAATATTTTAATATTTCTGCTTACTGTTCCTATTTTGTGTGTAGTCTATACTCTACTTTTTTAACGTAAGTATATAGGCATTACATTTTTTAGGTCATTCATTCGGGCCTAGTCTGTGAATACAAGAAATTATTTAAACTTATACTATTACAATGTATGGGTGCATGCGTTTGTATATACCTATGGATGTGATATAAGTCGCTAGTTCTCGTTTTGTAGATTTCTTCCTTTGTAAGGAAAATATACAAATATAGAGACGGTTTATCATAAAATTGTTAAGCCATCTTTGAATTAGTACTTACTCGATATCAAACATGCATAGATTGGACCCGTAAAATCAAACCTGTCTTTGTAATGGGTTTATGGTAAATATATGATTATATAGGTACCTGTAATATTAGTATATCTAAAATTATGATATGAACTTATAATCCTACTACTCCTACTACTATCACAAGTAAAAAAAAAATAAACATCGAATAAAATTAATTTTTCTTTACACACAAATGTGTGTACAGAAAAATGTAAAAAAAAACTAATAGATTTTTTTTTATTTCTCGGTTTCACTATTCCTCAGGAAGTAAGCCTATTTTGTTGATTAATTATGTAAACAAAGCTACAGGCAAAAGCTAGTGTTATTTAATAGTCTGTAATATATATGTAACTAAAACAAATACCCTAAGTAAAATCAACAATTTAATTTAACAACATTTATTCATGTTACGACAAAGGTTAAGGATAGAATTTGAAACATCAAAACAATTACCAATGGAGGATGGTATTTATTCAGGAGAAAATTAATCCGAGAAACTCAAGACATTTAATTAGAATCAAATTATTTTAATAAGAAATCAAATATGTGTGAATTTGTATAATATTTAGTATTCTTGGAGCTACTGACTTAACAAGACATAATTAAGTACACTAATTGATGTTGCTCAATTTCTGTATACATATGTGTTATATTATGTATTTGAATAGTTAAATTATTATTAATTAACTTTGTTCAATGTTTTGACAATCTTATTTTCTTTTTGAAGTTTGAAGTTTGAAAATAAAATATTCCAAACATTGGTGAATTAATCTGTGCTCAGGCACGCATTGAAGCACGAGAGAATTGAATTGAATTGAAAATAGGTACGTCAACAATAACTCTAGATTAACCCTGTTTTGCTCTTGATTCTCCCATTATGGTATTAAAAAATACTCTAAGTAAAATGCTTCTTTAAAATAGATTAGCATAATTTTGTTGATTACTGAAAAATCTGCCGTTATGTAATGAGTTTGTAGTGTATATTCACAGATGGCGCTGTTAACTTTATGCAAGTTGCTTACCGCGTTTAAAAACTTTTAAAGTTACTCACATTTGTTTTAATAAAAGCAGGATAAATTTTGATATAGTCAATTGATTTAATATATACAAGATTTGTGACGATCTATCGTCTATTCTAGTAAACAAAAAAAAAACTCCAAGAATAGCCCGAATTAGGGTGGCCTAATTTCTTTGTATGAGATTTATACGGTATTTATTAATATGTCATCCGTTATACATCAGTATAACAGATGGATCAATCTACATCCATTTATTAAGGGATAAAGAAGGAAAACCCAAAAATATTCACCCGTCTTTACAATACTACTACCACCCATATATCCAATTTTCTGTGTAATATATGGTGCTGAATTCAAAAATGTGTATCCTACAAACTAAATAAAAATAAAACATATATATGAAAATAATTGAAAAGATGATCATATTAATTTAATGACTTAGGTATTGTAAAAATATATGAATTAATGAATGTATTCAGCCATCAATATAAAAGGGAACAGACCACCACACTGGCCAAGTGCGAGTTGGTATACTTAAAAAAAAACTTTTGGTACCTATGTTTTTATTGAGCTGATTTCTCTACTTAGTATAAATTTCAAGAAATATATTATCTCGCAATATAGAATATATCAACATATATGCTGAAAAAATAGTATGCTCTCAGTCAATATGTATAAAATATATTTTAGTGAAATGACGTACCTTTATCAACAATTTTATCATCATCGAAATCGAATTTGATAACATGAGTTCGGAGTACTTTTGCCATTCTTTGTAAAACAAGATTTTTCCATTCTCCCTCTTCTAATTCTTTCTCTGACCACGTACTGTGAATTAAAACATACTTTTGTTGTAATTTTAAGGAATATACCACTTTGTAAAAAACAGCTTGTGAGACATAGTACAGCTTGGACAGCAGATTACAAAGTGTAGGAGAATTATGATATTACTATTAATTTATAATTCTCCTCATTCTAGCCTCGTTCAGGTTCAACCCTAAGCAATATTATCCAATAGTAGCCTATGTGTTACTCAGAGTCATACTCATCATTGGAATTTTAGTCCAGAAAATCTCAAAAGCAGTTCGGAGTTGGGAAGTTGACGGTATTGCATCAGCTTGCTAGGGACACCAAGTAGTGCCATCTGTACTGCACCTGATATCTTACCGGTTGTGTTGAATAATCATCCCACTGGACTTTAAGAGAAAAGGAATGGAGAATGCAATTATGATTATACACACATTTGGGCATTGTAATCCACTTCGTAGTTGGCTAGTCTGATTTGGATTTGCCGTCGTGCCCAGAATCGGTCAAAAAGATATTGTTATTTTTGGGCCAACTAGTATCGACAGTACCTTTTAGCTGAATATCAAGCAAGTTTAGCCTAGATATTAGGATTTCTTAAATAATATGGATTCAAGATAAATAAATAAATAAAATAAATCTTTGTTTTCGATATTTAAGTGACGACACTTTGCTGACGACATATATCTACTATATACCTATGGAGCAAACTAATGACTTATAGACATATATTCACCGTAGATTTTAATTATTTATGTAATATAGAAAATTATGGCCTACGAACATTTTGAACATAGGACGACTTGTCTAATTAAAGAGTAAATACTTTTCAAGATAGCTTGACCTAACTCTTTTGCAGTAAAAACTTAAAGGAAATTATTAGTATTTCACCAAAGTCACCTAAGTTTAAGGGATCCCCTAAGCATCGTTAGGCGGCTGTTAGGGGACAGTTTCTGTTTGACCGACAGTTAGGGGTCACCTAAGTAAATGTTAAAATACTACCTAAATATAGGTACTAGAAATACGGGCTCTGACGATGGTAAAACGAAATTTAATTTAGGGGCTAGTTTAGGGGAACTTTTAAGCAAGGGATCCCATACGTAGGTGGTAGCTTAAGTGTTGTTGGTGAAATCGGGCATAAGTCTCTCAGTCGCCCTGCTTGTTGTAATTGGATTAAATTTATTTGAATATTTCATATCTTGTTTAACGAAGACTCTAGCGCTTTTGATATAAATACAAATACATTCATGCTTGTTTTGAACTTCTTTATCCATTTACATTACTTTATATATACAAAATATATGCTTATAATATGTTACATATGTACTTTTCAATATGGAGTGGATCGTCTAAGCACTTATTTCAATTTACGCGATTCCAATACACTTAGAGCTGTATTCCTCATAATGCTAGAACAAATTGAATATCTAAACATAATATAAATGAAACTGACTAGATACTATAAATATTTTTACATATTTCCTTTGAAGAAAGTTTTTATTCAGTTCCCTTATGTTACTTACGTCCGTTATCATTATTTATAGATTTATTAAATACAAAATTTCCTCTAAAGCAACTTCATGTCCCGTCTTCTACAGCTTCAATATCAATTTGGCAATTACATTACCCGATAAACTTGGTGTTAAAAGCATTTTATGTTATACTAGGAATTTCCTTCGAATTGGTTTCCCCTTTTTTTTAAAAGTAACTAGCGGCTCACCCACGCTTCGCTCGGGTTCGTCGCTAGGTACGTCTTATATATATATAATAGTTATTACAGAGCTTGCCAAATAAATTTTAATATGGTTGTTAAGTATTTTTAAATAAGTGTTCTTAAATTTTATAATTTTCCGCGCAATTTTTTAATTTTTTTCTTTCATAGACCTTCTCCTGACAATAACAAACACAACAAAAAAAAGTTAAATCGGTCCAGCCGTTCACGCGTGATGGCGTGACCAAGGGAAATAGGGATTCATTTTTATTTATATAGATAAATCGTTTAAATTCTGTATATTTTCTTAATCAATCCAACCCGGTGAAAACTCGTTCATCTATTGTCTATATTATGATTTTCCATTTTTTACTGAATGTTATGCGTCTACCACCAGTTCTGAAAGAAAAGTCTTAGTCCGGAGAAGAAATGGCGAAAGAAATTCAGCGGAATTTTTTTTTCGTTTTACAGCGGTGGTAATGCCGAGTGGAGGTAGAGGTTTGCTATACAATATATTATGTATGTTTAGGAGAATATGTAAAGGAGTCCTACGCAATCGTAGGTACATAAATAGCCACTTTTTGTAAAATTTGCCGCGATGACTGAAATACGATTTCGTAGAATAGCGTGTAATATATAATAACGTGGGCTGACACTGACTATCGCGTAAAATATCTTTATTAGTACAATATCTAATTATGAAACTTTAACTGAATAATAAGTAATACTAGCGACTCACCCTCGCTCCGCTCGGGTTCGTTCCTACATTTTAAGGTAGTATAGATTTCTTAGAGGTAAGATATTTTACCGCAGTAAAAAGTATCCTAAATGCTGACCCGGATAACCAGCTATCATCATACTAAATTTCATCAAAATCTGTCCAGTGGTTTTCTAGTGATGTATTCCCAGACAGACAAACAGATAGACACACAAATATTCTAAAAACTATAGATTCGGCCTCTGTATTTTATTAGAATTTTATTATATGTATAGATTACCTAATTATTTTTAAAATAGTAATTCAAGCAGTATAACGGGAATAATAGAACATATTATTAAAATATCTAAAGACATTATTGACTTTATTAGGTACTGTGTCGAGGAAAAGAATTATTGCAATAATAGTAGCAATAAAAAGATATAAAATAGCACATTTATTGTACTGTATACAAAAAGGTTTCGCCACACTTACGAAACCGGAGCGCTTACGCAATTGTATTTGAAACCCACATCCATGACGTTGACAAATTATTTCGCGTGCATTCACCTAAATATTAGCATACTATTAATTAGCCTTACTTTACCTGAAAACTTATACATGAAAATGAATATGGCTTATTTAAAAAATATTTTACATTAGATTCCCTATACAAATTTTCATCCCTATTTTCACCACCTAAAGATATGATTTCCGGGATAAAAACTATTCTTTGTGCTTTCCAGGGTCTCAAACTATCTTTTTACTGAATTTCATCTAAATTGGTCTAGTAGTTTTGGAGCTTCTTCGGTACAAACAAACAAAACAAAAAATCTTTCCTCGTTGTAATATTAGTATAGATGGACCGTTGAAGGTTTTTTCTGAACACATTTTGCCCATTTATACATTATCTATACATATAATAAAATTGTAAGTAAGCCAAATCCGTACATTAGATATTTTTTGTAAAATCTTATTGAAATTAACATTATTATCGATACAGAGGCTGAATCTATAGTTTTTAGAATTTTTGTCTGTCTGTCTATCTTTTATCTCATCATAGAAAAACCAGTGAAGGGATTTTGATGAAATTTGGTATGGTGACAGCTGGTGAGTATACTAATATGTAAAACCTAAGAATTTGATTTTTGATCATCTGAACGCAGGCGGGGCCGCGAGCAATGCTAGTTATATATATTTTTAGTAAGCATAAATATGGTCATAGTAAGTGAATGTTGAAATATTACTAGGGAATGTGCATCCATGAATGAAATGTAGGTTAGAAGATTTTAGGTTAAATAGAATCATTTTGATCAATTAGGTAACAAGAAAGTAGGGTTATTACAATGTGTAACGCCTAAGTACACCCGTCGATCATGTATGTCTGTTTTGTGTTCGTGGCTAATAAAATATACTATTATAGTACATGTACATAGATGATTTAGTGGTCTTGGAATTACATGGTAAACAAGATCTTAAACCAGGATATTCATAGACATTTTTTTAAATAATATATGGACTTAAGGTTGGATCTTTTTCTATTAGCAATTGAGGGCGACAATGCAAGTTCGTTCCCAGATATTGAATGGATTCCAAAATGCTCTAAACTGAAAATTACGTCATGTCATGTTATAAAAATTTGTACAAGCACACGCCTTATGAACAACCTTTTGCCCGAGTGTATATAAGACCGTAAACAAAAAAAAGTTCTGATCATTTATATTGAAAATAATCACAGTGAAACGTGAATGCTTTAGCTATTTCCTTCCTTTGCTTTTTTAATTATCTTAAATCGGAATAAAAACACTTAAAAATAATTATTCTTAGGAGTGGACTATTCTTTTTCACATACACAATATTTGACCACCTTTGATTCAAACCACATCAAAATGGATGCAGTAAAACATAATTGTGATTTATTTATTATATTTTTTGTAAGCCGATTTCTGAATTCGTATTATAACCATGGTTTATTTTTTTCTAACTTTCCGTAAACATAATAAGGAACAAACCTGGTGTCATTTTCCTGTAAGACATTCCCAGATTGGTCGACTAGTTCAAACCTTACGAGGTTAACTCCGTCTGCGATAGGCACGACATCTGGACTCAGGCTGCGATCCAGACCTCTTAATGTTTTACGTTTTATGCATCTTACGAACTTCGGATAGTAGTCCTTTTGATCAATGACGTCTTTAGCCGCAACCATCTAAAAGATTAAAATTTACAATAAGTATATATAGTAATATTTTTTATTATTTTTAGTCGAATTTGCCTCTAATCTTCTTAAATCCTAATATTTTCCATTGAACAATACAAATAGTACAGTGTGTTAGTTTATCCTATTCTATAGCAACCCAAACATAGATTCATGTGTTTATGAAGATATTTTATTAAAATATAGTTCTATTATACCTACTTTTAATATATAATTTACTTTAATATAATACTATTTCTGTTTTGTTATATTATATTACTTTTTTATTTACAAATCAGTAGCATCAGCAGAAAGCATACTCGTATTAGCATGTTATTTGCTCACAGTTACACGTTATTAAATTGCCGTGTCACAGGTTCCGTGAAGGTAAATTGTTTTTCCTAATATCTCCACGAAATGTGAAATTCTGAACATTTTAAGGTTTTAATTATTTAACCTACCTGACTTTACTTCAATATTATTAAGTTAAATACAAAGTTAGTGCTTGTAGACAAAATATAAATAGATGGACGTGCGAAACCGCTGGTAACAGCTAGTTTAAATTATCATTAAATTAAATATAAGTCTACGGATGTTGTAAAAAGGTTTTCATATGCATTTCTATATTATAATATTTTTAAAATCATAAAATAAAATTGTCACAGAGTACCAAATTAATATTATAGCAAGAAAATGCCTGTGTATGCCAATAATCTCAAATATCTTTCAGTCTTTGTTGTTGATTCTATTAATTATTTATTTCGTTTAAAATGTTAGCGAATCGGAGGAATAGGTCACAATTTTTAATAATTCTACGTAAGCGTTCCGGCGAGTTCTCTTTGAATACAAAAAACAGGACCATTTTATTCAATTAATTTATTATATTATAATTTACTGAAATTTTAAACTAAATATTATTAATGTCATTTCAATAAAAGCTAATAATAATTTCTTTCATATTTCATAATAAAAAGACGGTGTTTTAAGTTTGGTTTATAAAAGTTAAAAATTTTACCTTTTTCGAACAGTCTCGCCAAATGATTCTAACGATATCAGTGCCCTCTACCCACAAATCGGCAATAAATCTACTCAAATATGTATCAGTGTCATTGTGAGCGCAGCCAGAAGCTGCCACCAGGACTATAACAGCGAGTGTGAATTTCATTTTAAAGGTTCTTACAGTCACGTAATTCATTTTGAGAACGATAGTGCCATCTCCTGCACGTGCGTTAAGTTCCATATAATCTGAAAAGTTATAAAACTTGAGATGCTTTCTACATCAGTATTGAAAAAGTAATTTTAAAGTGGTTTTTTACTACATTTTATTCATCCTAGTTATATTCACTAGCTTCTACTACAAAATTCATTGATTTTTTATGTATTTTTGATCGATCTTAAAGAAGGAGATACTTAATTTGCTTATATGCATCGCGTAATATTTTGTGTTATTACGCGATGTCTACGCCGATTATGAACCGATTTTTATAATTATTTTTTAAAGAATATGGTCTACCTACCTCAAGATTATATTTTTAAAACTAAAAATCCTACACTAAAGGTGGAGTTTTATTAAATTTATTTTTAAAATTATTTTAAAGACAGTGTATTTTTTATACTAAAAATGAAAATAAAATGTCATACATTTATTACTATGACTGGTAAGGGTTAATGAATTCTACAGAAGTTTATTTCCTTATTTATTTTATACTATTATACTATATTTTTAAATTTGAATACCATCAGTGTAGTAGATCAACGAGCTCTTCGTTATATCTGGTTCCAAATTAAGCGGATTACTGTAAACTAATTTGTATAAAAGTATAAAGCCTAAGTACCCAATTATACGAGTATTTAACAAAAGCTTGTACTATACTTAATCATTATTATTAGAAATTTTCTTAGAGAGTAAGCAAATAATCTATACATAATATTATAAAGAGGGAAAAGTTTGTGAGTTTGTGACGTTGTAGGGGGTAATCTCTAGATCTACTGAACTGATTTAGATGAAATTTAGTAAAAAGATAGTTTGAGACCCTGGAAAGGACATAGGATACTTTTTATCCCGGAAATCGTCCTTTAAGGGAGTGCAAATGGGGATGAAAGTTTGTATGGGGAATCAAGCTAGGGACGAACCCGAGCGAAGCGAGGGTGAGTCGCTAGTAGGTAATAAAATTTGTAATTAAGTCGAATCTGTACATTAAATATTTTTTGGAAAATCTAATTGAATAGATATTATTATCGATATAGAGTCCGAATCTATAGTTTTTAGAATTTTTGTCGGTCTGTCTGTCTGTCTGTCTGTTACCGCATCACGAGAAAACCACTGGACAGATTTTGATGAAATTTGATATAATGATAGCTGATTATCCGGGTCAACATATAGGATACTTTTTACCGCGGTAAAATATCTCATTTCTGAGAAAAAATACAAAAAGTGCATTGTTAGAGTATACTAATGTGTAAAACCTAAGAATTTGGTTTTTAGTCATCTGAACGCAGGCGAGGCCGCGGGCAATGCTAGTTAATTAATAATTTGTTAGTAAATATTTATGAACTGTATTTTAATGGGTTATTTTAACAAGCAATATTCAAAGTTAACACCTAATCTCAATTAGTCTAAGTAACAAGTTTAAGCGTAAGGAAATAATTGAATTTGTGAATTCCTTTTAGTGAAATTGGTTTAAGAGAAAACTTGTACCGTGATTAACTTGAAACAATTATTATACAATTAATAAATTATCAATAGTAAAAGTTTACCTAATAGTTTGTATACAAACAAAATAATAAATAAACAAAATTCCTGTAAGATCGTGATTTAAGATTTATTTATCCATTTATCCTTATATCCATCTATAATTTGCGAACAAAATATAAGCATCTCTTTTAACATAAATTAGTGGAATATAACTTTAACTAAACACAAAAATAATAAAATAAAAACTTTTTAACAAAAAAATAAAACCGACTTCAAAAAAAGCACTAAAAAGTAAAAAATAACTGATTGGTAGTTTTCATTTACTATACATACGTAATCAAATATTTTCGAAGTCAGTGTGCTTTGGTTTGTATCGGCTAGCACCGACTTCGAAATCAAACAAAACAAAAATTGTTCAAATCGGTTCATAAATGACGGAGTTCTGAGGTAAAAAACGTATAGCCAAATTGAGAACCTCCTCCTTTTTGAGGAAGTCGGTTGAAAATACCAACATTTGTCGTTTACGGTAAAGAAATTAACGTTAGAGTTAATTTCATGTTAACAACAAAGAGTAGGCGTAGAAACATTAGATTTAGACTAAACAACAGAAAAAAAGTCTGATTATAACCTTTTCATATATAATAAATCGTATTCGCAAAAAATTGACACTTTTTAGCTGTTAAGCGTCGATGTATACAAAAAAATATACACCTAGTGTATGCGCGCTTTTTTTTGATATCAGTGAAAAATGGTATCATTTGCCTCTTTATCTTTCTTTAATTTTAGATTTATTAATCTAAGCCATATATACTATACTTTTATAAGAGGAAAGATTTGTATTTTTGTATGTTTGTAACGAATAAACTCAAAAACTACTGGACAGATTTAGATGAAATTTGGTAAGAAAAATAGTTTGAGACCCTAGAAAGGACATATGATATTTTTTATTCTGGAAATCATCCCTAAAGAGGGTGAAAATGGGGATAAAAGTTTGTATAAGGAATTAATCTAGGGACGAACCCGAGCGAAGCAAGAGTGAGTCGCTAGTATTGTATATTATAATAAGTAAACAAAGTGAGACACTTACTTCGACTAAAGCATTAGTTTATTTTATCCTTGTTCACAGTATTAGTAATCTTGGCAAAGTTTACATTTGAAATAAAATTTTCTTCCTAGGCCAAGTATTATATAGGTATTGAAAGAAAGCAGGTTATTTTCGATATGGCTTACAGATCATGTTAATAGTTGTCCACGCATGGTCATCTATGCACAACTGTGACGGATAATCAATGACATTTTGAAGTTACCATTATCTACTTGATACTTATTTTTGTTCTATATTTGTTAGTAACGGCTTTACTTGCAATAACAGGAATAAATAAAGCAAAGATAATTGAATAAAAAACCGTGCTAAAATTTCACAAGCTTAATAGCAAAATTATTCCATTCAAATCAATTTTCTTGGTAATAGCTTTAAAGTGTGCCTGTTGAAAACAAAATTATTTTAACGTCTATGTGCTAGCCTGCTTGATAGATGATTGATAGCCTGCTTGATAGTCTGCTTGAGAGATGCCGATCCGTCTGATGGACCCGGAACCCCTCATTCTGTTTCCAGACGAAATATATTTTTTAAACCATAAAACATATTAACAAAAACGAACCAGGGTGTCACCAAAAATCAGGCTATTTTTTACTAAAACCTCTAATGTTGAGATGTTTTGGTATGACAACTCTATATCATTAATTTTTTTGTAAGATTATATATATATTAATACTTGGTTTGTTCCGTAAAACAATACGAGTAATTAATTACTTCAATTTACGAGTACCTGTTTAAAACTGGATGTAATGTGTTTGAAAAAGGCCGCCAAATGTATGATGATATTTTCTACAAGTCTTTTACTTTCGATTGATACTAATTTATCACAGTAAAAGAGTTCTTGTACTTAAAAATACCATTTTTAACATATTTGTATTTTATATAAAAAGTACTATTTACTGTCGCCTTTTTTTAACACTATATAAAACTAATTCTATTTTCAAATATTTGAGCGCACGTAACTCTGAAACCACCAGTTCGCTAGGGAAAATCCTTTTTGTATTCGAGACTCTATAATCTGTATACTAAAGGGATGTAGGCTAACTAAAATTATTGTACATCTTTAGGAGTCAAGTTGTACAGATGTTTTATAATAAATTACGAGAGTGGACTCGCGGGTCAAAGCTTCCGTGATATATTATTAAACAATAAACATATTAATATGTAATTTATCTTTACCATTGATTAAGTTAGGGATCTATTAGCGGAGGGCCTGTGAACGATAGGCATTGTGGAAATAAAGTCCCAAGTAAATATTAATATTGATTCAGAACCATTTATCTTTTAGTAAAAGAGAATTATTTTTATATAAGACTAGCGACTCATCCTCGATCCGCTCGGGTATGTCCCTAGTTACGTTCTAACGTTTAGTCATGAACGAATTAGCCACGTTTAGTATAGATTTCTCAGAGATTAGATATTTTCCTGCAGTAAAAAGTATCCTATATGTTGACCAAATCTGTCCAGTGCTTTTCTTGTGATGCGGTCACAGGCCTTTGGCCTCTGTATCACTAATAATGATTATTTCAATAAGATTTTTCAAAAAATATTTAATGTACAGATTCGACTCAAAATTTTATTATAGGTATGTATAGATGAATACTACTCCTACTATGATAAATAATGTCAGCTTGGCTATTAAGTAATAATAGTGTGCAAAGTTATAACAAAATGAATAATTCGTTATCCTATTATTACATACATATGTACATAATAATAATCTTGCTATTGTTTATTTATTTATGTCTTTGTAACTTTTAGCTAAGTTTTCTAGCTAGCATTTTCATTTTTCTTTTCAAAATCATTTCAAGTTATTAAAAACTTAGTCATGATGGATCATTATTATATTAATATACATATTATGAGAAGGTGCTTATTGAATTTACAGGAAAACGTTTGAAATTCGTTCGAAGTATTAATTAACTATACCCGTTAATTAACCACTAGAATAGTTAAATCCGATTGATTTAAGGATTTGCTGACAGTTTTAGGGATTTACTATTAGACATCAAGCTAGAAATCAATTTGTGATTATAATTTATTTAATCATCTATATATTAATATAATAGAGATGTAATGAATTCAAATATAAGTTTTTGCCGAAGCCCCGCTTGTGTGGTGTACGTCAATAAAAAGTACCGAACGTGCTACACAAAAAATAATTACGATATTTTAGTAAGAAAGTAGAGACTTTAAAATTACTTATAAGTATTTTTTTCACTCTTGCACGGGATTTTTTTTTAATATTTTATAAAAAAATTAAATTATTAAAAAGTTAAAAAAAATAGTCAAAAATTATTGGCAAAGACATCTCGTAACATATACGGTACACATAAAAACAGGTGAACTGAGTACCTCTTGTTTTGATATAAGCAAAATATAGGCAATATCTATTTCGAATTCTACTAATATGATAAATGCGGCAAGGCTGTATGGATGTCTGGAT